TAGCCCTACCACGTACACTGAAAACAATTAGCATATACTTACTGTCAAATTGTACAAAGTACAGAATACTTAGCTTTGCTTGCTCCACACACCAACTGAACATGATTCTTAATATTTGATAAACACCCTACGATTTTTCTCTCTCTCTCTATATATATATATATTTATACTCCATATCTTAATCAATCCCAAGCATTAGTGAATGTAGGCTATATCTATATATATATCTTGCGGCTATTGAACAGCAAGTTATGCTATGCTTAAATCCATATATGAATCTCTACTTCATATTTATATATATTTATATCCCCCTATATGATTTGATCGGGATTTATATTGATTTTAGCTCCTTTCGCTTGACTCTCGTTTCATGTCTCGTTCCATGCAGTCCATGCAGCGTCTGTCAGCTGAGCAGAACGGTGGTTCAACGACTGAACAAAAACATGAACACAATCCAAACGTCGTACCTGATCATAGAGGCAACTTACACATTACAGTTAAGAAAACGAAACCAATTTTAGGTATTGCTATCGAAGGTGGTGCTAATACAAAGCATCCGCTTCCTAGGATAATCAATATCCATGTGAGTTAATAGAGATGAACGATAATGTGTATGAATATATGTTTAATGACGTGATATTCTTATAGGAAAATGGTGCGGCATTTGAAGCGGGCGGCTTGGAAGTCGGGCAGCTGATACTGGAGGTAGACGGCACTAAGGTCGAGGGTCTACATCATCAGGTGAGTAACGCAAGCAGAGCAGTTCACTTAAACTGTAAAAAATCCCCTACTGAGGCTCATTTATACATGAGCTCTTCAGTTTAGTTCACTCATTCAACTACAGTGGAAATGAACTAAAGAGCAAAGCGAACAAGAGAGCCCCTAAACTTCTGTAGCTTTTTAAACTGAAAATTACCCTTTTTAATAAGCAGCTATAATTTCCCAATATTGCATTTAAATAATTCCCTTTTGTACATTGCAGGAAGTTGCGCGACTGATAGCCGAATGCTTTGCAAATCGTGAAAAGGCTGAAATAACCTTCTTAGTTGTCGAAGCAAAGAAATCAAATTTGGAACCGAAGCCAACAGCGTTAATATTTTTAGAAGCCTAACATTTGCTTGCCCTGCCGGCTAGTGACCCATTGGAACGACAGAAGTTGGAGTTCCTTTATGAATGGGGCATCGATTTAACGGAGACGCCAAAACCAATGCCAACACCGATACCGCTGACAAAAGCTAAAAATCCACCGCCACTGCCTCATGAGCTACATTGCAACAGCAACAGCAACAACATCAGCAACAGCAGCAACACCAACAGCAACAACTACGGCAGTAATACTGCGCTCAACAATCATCATCATCAGCAGCAAAACTATCATCCCAACACACCCACACACACGCCAACAACACAAGCTTCAGCTGCAGCCACATCAAAACAACAACAGCAACAGCAACAGCAACAAAAACAACAACACGTGAGCAACACCAATACACCAACGAAAGCATCGCGAGAGGCAACGCCCACGCGTGAGCAACAGCA